TGAATTAAAATTGAAACCAAATTAACATCTTTTGAAGGCATAATGATGGACTTTTAAGGTATCTCATGAATATTTAGCCAGAACTTTGAAGCGAAGGCATTTAGATATAATTAAAGTGAAAGTGAGTTGCAATAAGCACCGACCAATAAAGAGAGCTCACGACTAAGTGAAGAAGATTTCAATTGGCTGGAAACTGTAAGTTGAATTAGAACGGAATTTTCTCAATATAGGAAGATAATAATTAAATTTGATTGAAATTAATTTATACTAATACTAAGACATTGTAGTGGATACATCTCAAAGCATGACGATAATATAAGAATAAACCAAAGTGTGTGTCTAATGACGCCGTAATTAGCTTGTAAGCTACATAATTACACAAGGACAGAAGTGAATTGCCAAGTTTATGTAAAAATAATAACACACAGCTCCCAATAAAGGGAAATATAGAGAATATGCATGTAAAAAAAGTATTTGTAAACATTAAAATCTTAAAGTTGTTTTTTTCTGTGCGGAAATCCCTTCGGATACCACCCACCGGTGGTTATGTCGGACATGAACGGACCAAAAACCGCACGCCATCTCGGTATTAGTAGCCGGGGAACCAGGTGTACCATAGGAATAAAATCACTGGAACCCTGACGGACCCCGGGCCATCTACGGCCTGTAGATGACCCCCTCGTGTGTGGGAACCAAAAGTATGAGATGTTTCAGGATTATCAAAAGAGCTTCTAAGACGTACAAGAAAGAAGCAAATCTAGAAAAAAAAATCTGTTTAGATTTAAAAATAATAATTACAAAACATACTGGCCATACAAATAAATAAATACATAGTACCTAATACCTTCCATAAATTCTAAGTAGCTACATACTCTCGGTAACTAATTCTTTCTTTTCACTTTGAAATAGATTGGCTTACTTTTGCTTTAAAGCAGTTATAAACAAGCTTCTAATAATAATAATTGACAGTACTATCGATGAAATAAGAATAGAAATTTACAATCGAATAATCACGTAGAAAGACTAGTATCTATTTATAATATAGTTTAAGATAGATAATATTCGAGATAATTTGTTCACTTTCACTTGCAAGGGCTGGGTTTTTTAATACCTTTTTTTAAGATTAAATAGAATCACTTGATACATTACAGAAGGTAATATAAAATTCTAGAACATTAGGGGTTCCAAATATAATGTTGAAAGCAATATGTTTGAAGAATATTAAACAGGATAGGATAAAATAGTAGAAGCAATAAGCGAGGATACGATATATCTATAAGAGTCTAGGTGAACATTTTTAGAAAATCTATAGAAAGCGTAGAAATACTCTACATTAAATAAATTCGAAAGGAATATTATTGGTCCAAATTCATGCGAAAATTGTCTTTAGCTGCTGAAGGAGTTGTAAATATATATGAAAATTAATTAATAGACTACATGCAATATTCCTTATATAAATTTTGATACGTTTCGAATGTTCAGGGACTGCAATCTCAATTGTTTTAAATTTTAAGATCCTTAGTCTGACCTTTGGGGAATGAACAAAAATGTTGTAACTTGATGGTTTATTTCTGTAGGTGTATGTTACGTACATAAAGCTTGGAGGATGATTTCAATGATAATATTGTATTGGATGAACCAAATTATAACGATATAAGATTATTCAAGTTTGATGTAAGTCGTTGTAAAAGTTGGAAGCTAGTGACTAAAAATACATTCCAAGGATATTTGAAAGTTTCTAAACATACTCTAATATAATTACTATATATAGCGAATATTTAATAACATAAGCCATCTAAAAATAAATATCGATGCTTATAATTATGGCAGTACTTAAACTATTCGATTAATTTCGTATGGTGCCTCCTATAATATGTGTTCTTGCACCAATTTTTACATGATCGATTCAGTTTTCGCGTTGTTGAATAGTCTAACAATAATCATCAGTAATATTTTACTGAAAACCATTATATTGATGTATATTTATATTTCTAATTTTTGCACTTGTCTAATACGTTATTGATTTTAAAATATATTTGCAAATAAGAATTTCAAGTAAGCGATATCATGAAATTTGCATTTTAGCAAGTTTCTTCAGGTTAATTTTTTATTAAATCCATCAAAATCCCATCAAGTGTTCGTTTGGAGAGACACTTATCACGTTGATTCATAGCTTTATCTAATGCTAAATACATTTGTATTTCGTTATTTACATAATATACTCTATAACTACGATATTATTTTAATAAATTTGACTTTAATGTGATTTTATGCCTATTTCTGTATTTCGATGATCAGTTTAACATAAATGAATAATTTAAAACTATTGATATATTGATGATTATATCAAATCAAAAGTTTATTAATACGCAAGTTCTATATCATTTATTTAAAATCAATGATATGTTTTAAATTCATTTATACCATGCCTTTCAGGACTGTTTCGGATGACAATTACCAGGTTAGATATAAACTCGAAAGATCAATTTTTAAAATGAAGAAAACAATAACATTCCTTCTCAAAACCTGTACATTTGAGCAAATACATCACATACCCAGTTAACATGCTGTGGACTATGAGATAGTGGAACACTATATGTCTAGAAATATAAGTTTAGTGTATAGCAGATATAAAAACAGAACAGCGTATTTAAACGATTAACTGTAGTGTCGTACCACCTGCCATTAATAAAAAAAACCTTCTTTTAAAGTCAATCATGCGACCATTAACTGTTGGTTGCTATTTACTTGATACGGGCTTATGATAGTCATTTATTTTTGTTATTACTGAAGTTTCTGTAGAAAAATAAAAGTATTGCCATTACAAAAAATCATATTGGTTTTCTTGCATTCAAATCACAGTAAAGACAAATTTCAATAAACACCTTGAACACTGTGATTGAACAAAAAGTACTTCTATAACTTACCTTGCATACACATTAATAAAATATTTCTCTAGCGGCAACATAAAACATATCCTAAAAACATATTTTTGTTTGCAAAGTAGGTATATGTAACTATAATACATTCGCACCTATTATTACGATATAAATATGATGTTCATTGTAAAATGAATCATCTCCTCATAGAAAAAGAACTCCGTTTAGAACAGCAGATGTATTGTTCTTCCAATTACCTAGTATATTAAGCATGGAATTACAGTGCTTTTATAGGAATTTCGTCATTTTATTAAAAAAGATCGGGTCAAATGTGGCATTCACCAAAAAATATTCCATATTCAAATGTGGAGTTACGTCATTTTTACAACGAGCAACATAGATATTATTTTCAATGTCCAAATGACTATATCCGTAAATTAGCACGCCATACGCATCTATTGTTATCAAAAACACTCTTTAAAAAAAAGTTTGGCTCTACTTTTAAGTATTACGTCGTCGCCTTCCAAATTACCTTCATTATAAACACCTGAACATGAACATGTGTTGTCATGATGAAAATATATTCTGTGATGTTCTTATAGAATTTAAGTATTCACAACATTTTGGCAACGAACACACTTTAAATTTTATAGTAATCTTTACAGAACTATATCAATTAATAATTGTATGGGACATCTAAGACTCCCATGTCAGAACATTTGAATATTCATGACACTCTCGTATCTTTAAATATGCCTATTTTAAACTATGTTCCTAATATATAAAACGTTAAAATTAATAAAAAAAAACAACGCAATTTAATTTTCCTTTTAATAAAAGATTTAATTTCTAATTTTAATTTACGTTTTCTTCGGCATTATCTTTAATATGTTTTGAATCATAACTCTGAAAAGGTAAAAAGAAACTTTCCGTTTAATCGTAAAAACTTATGCTTAGAATTTTATGCCGCGTAGATCGAATATAATCTCTACTTTATGCATTACCTAGACAATACCTTTCACTTGTCTTCATTTATTTTTGTCTGATCCTTGACCTTGAACTCTTGCTTTATTATTTCAGTTACAATCGTCGTTTTTGGTATGCTCATCGTATTATTTATGCTTGTACTGGATTACGTCATAAAGATATATGGCATATGGCATTTTATAATTTATTGCATACAAGTCTGTCTCTATCTTATTCTATTCTGTGTTTTCTTTAATTTTCTTTTGTAATGTATTTTATGCATAATCTTAAATATAAATATTTGATATACTAGCATTCGTTGCCAAAATATTCACCCAATCATTAGCAATTTGTAGCCAGCAAAAGTTCTATTTAACTGATTGTTCGATTCGTTAATCCTGATAAATCTATTTATAATCTATATATACCACAGCCTCCAAGGCTACTTTTAATGATTCTTATCAGATTATAAGATTTGAAAGAGAAATTTCTATAGGTAAGAAACAGTACAATCGACGTGTCTAAATCTGTACATTTGAGCACATAGATCTTAGACCGAATTGAGATGATGCTGACGATGGGACAGTAGAACACCGTGTATCTGTAAGTGGATAAAATAACATTGTGAGTAAATAAGCATAGTTCTATTAATTTAAGTTTGAATTTTAGTATTTTGATTGATTAGCTAAGTCAGTCTGTATGAAATGAAAACTATTGATTAAATTTGGAAAGAGTGTACTCGCTCAGTTTAATAAGTAGTTTTGCATATTATACAGTCTTGGATTTAATTCGAGGGGGGGGAAGGGAGATGCATACCCAAAGCAAAGCTACTTACTTGGGTCTCTTGGACTTAAGGTATCCATGAGCGCTCGTTTCACTTACCATCAGCTAATCAGGCCTGCTCGTTTGTTCCATAAAAATAGCATTTTTTTTTTAATTCGTCATATAATTTAAGTATTTCATATAGTCTATTTATCATCAGCTGCAAGGAAGCCATTGTGCGCTATTTTCTAGAAAATTATTCTTTGATATTTTAGGAGTCGCTTACTGCGTTTTTTCCTACAAGTATTACTTTTAAGGTTCCTACAATATCTTCCTAAAATGAAGAAGACTAATTAGTATTTTAAGTAAGCACATTACCAAAATGTTGATCTCTTAGAATTTGATGACATCATAGGCTTCCAAACTGGACATGGAGAGGTAAACCAGCCAGAGAGAGAAGAAAAACATAGAAGTGATAATCTTGATGCGACGCGGACCACCGAGCTCGCCACCAATGCTCTTCCGTCTTCGAAGAACGAGGACCAGTACTGCTAGCAACGCTTCAGAGCAGTACATTGTCACGCTGAAGGCTAAGCTGGAGAAGATAAAATATCGTAAGCATTTTAAATATACGAGTAGCTTTTACTCTACATCACACTCTTCACACTAACGTAAAAAAGGCGAAAGTTTGTGAGTGTGTGTGTTTGTATGTTTAATACTTCTTCACTCTCAAAAAGCTTGACCAATTTTTATGAAATTTGGTATGGAGATAGTCGCTACCCTGGATTACCACATGGCTACTTTTATACCAAAAAAATGTAGTGTTGGGATGCGCAAGGAATTGAAATATATTTACTACTGCGGGTAACACCGCGGTCGCAGCTAGGAAAATTTTTCTTTTTTTTTGCTGTGTATGACTATTATTATCATCTTCCTAGCCTTTTCCCAAATTTATTTAGGATCGATGCTTGGTCGGATTAGGGTTTATTTAGGTTCGGTCGGGGCCAGTAAAAAACCCCATGTTTTTATTTCATGAAGTGAATACGGTGTTACAACTTTCCTGCTTTGGCCACGCCACCTAAAGAACATCACATCACACATCAACAGCCAACAGTCCACTGCTGGACATAGGCCCCTTAGAAAGGAGGTTTTGGCCTACTATACCACGCTGGCCAGACGGGTTGGTACAGAAACAAACAAAGAAATAAAAGAACATACATATAAGAAATATATACTCGTATAAGTAAATTTTTTTTACTCAATTTTATGTATAAGCATGATCATTAAGGCGGCAGATATTTGTATGTACGTTTACTGTACGTTATGGTACGTTTAGGGTACGTTTAGTCATTCAAAATTTACTTAATTTATTACACTTAATAAATTTTATGAATATTCATGTCCCAAAAGATGTCTGATTAGTCCATTTGTCAAAGATTTTGGATTATGAATTGACTCCGGCCTCACTTGGCAAACGCAGGTTGCGAACGTTAGTCAAAAAGTTACTGGAACCTTACGATCACTGTATCGGCTAAAGAACTTCCTTCCACTACTGCCAAGTTAATGCTTTTACAGGCTTTGATCTGTCCAATTATCGATTATGGTGATGTATGCTACTTCGACCCGAATGCAGATCTACTCAACAAACTTGACCGACTTCTCAACAATTGCATTCGAATCATTTTCAACTTACGCAAGTACGACCATCTGTCTATCGATACCAGCTGTCGATTGTTACCTATACGTCAGCACCGTAGCTTGTGGCCATTGATTACCCTTTAGTCCCTTCTCAATAATTCTACAGCCCTCTCTTATCTCACTTCACAGCTTAAAACGATATGCTCAAACTATGACAGAGATCTTCGATCCACTAATAATCTTTTACTCCTGTGTCCTATACACACTTCTTCTATTGTTCATTCTTCATTTGCTGTCCAATCCATTCTACTATGGAATGCGCTCCCACTTGAGATCAGAATGTCAGCATTTCGTGACACGTTCAAAGCTAAAGTCCGAGAATTCTACAGGAAACCGCTAGCCGAAATATCCTCATGATTTCGTCACCTCAGATATTATTGTATTTATTTTACTCCGTATATAATAATATAATATATAAATATTTATGTATTCGTCTATGTATTTTAAATAGTATTATCAAATTACTGTTATATTTTCATAGCTTCTCTTCTTTTTACATAATACACGCGCCTGCCATGTCCCTTACTGAACCATCTTAAGTTATAACGCAGGAAGTGTAAAATAAAATAAATGAGTGAATAAAGCACAAAACGATATGTGGGTGGGCCATGCATGGGCACAAATGGGCCTCTCGACTGGAGTGATACCACAGTCTTACAGTAAACCGGTGTTAAGTAATTCTTACGGTAGTACCACTCGTTAGCCCATTTTACAAAAAAAATAATTAAGCATTTTAACTCTATGGGATATTTTACTTCTTACATAAGTAATTATGTCGAGCAATCCATTCAGTAGAAAACGGCCCGATTCACCGAAGCTGCGGTCGTGTATCAGATTGTAATTTGCGGTAGTGGCCGAAAATCGACTATCTAGCCTTGCAGTTAATAATTAAGGTTTTCCAAAGCAATTTACTACTTCAGAATGTTAATTAATTAGAAGGGTAAGTAATTAAGTCTGTTGGAAAAAAATGAGTTAAATTTGTACAACACATAGTCTGCCAGATATTAGGCAGTCACTAATATTAATGCACATTCGCAACAAATGAGTATAATGTAATTTTCGGAGAGGGTTGTAGTGTGCGTTTGCCTATTTAGAGAGTCGAGTATCATTAGAGCAGAAATCTGTTGTATACTGGATATCAAAAACTTAGGCCAGTACAACAAAATACACATACTTTAAATTACATTTAATGTCATTTAAAAAGCTAGTTTTTATAAACGTTGTCTTGTATTACTCAAATTCTTTCTTCTTTCTCAGATTGGATTTGCCTGACTCTTGGAAAGTGTACACACACATACTCCTAGTTGTGACACACACGTAGTATTCACAAACGGAGATACTCTTACGTTCCTCACGTGTTCCTCTTTTTTTTCTAAAGATAATCATCGACGAAGAACTGGATAGTAATTAATATATATTGTATATAGTCCAAGATTGACTCGAAATTTCACGCCCGAGCAGTCTGCCTCCTAATATACACTTAAAAATACTTTAATTAGGTTTGCTCCTCCAATCACGTCTAACACACTGACGTCTTGGTCCTGTCGGTGGAATAAACGCGGATTCGCAACCGACTGGTATTGCTAACATCGCTATCAAGTCCTGTTTTTAAATATCCAAAGGTATGGTTCACCTAGTATTAAGAGAAAACACTGTAGAGAGGTTCAACTGAAAACAGTGATAAAATATTTCAGAATACAAGGCGTTACAAATGCGGCTGGCCATAAAAGAAACAAACTAAAACCATTCGCAATATTACACATTATACTGAGCCTAATAAAATTGGGGGAAAAGGGATAACGTGATATATACCAAAGGAAAATAATGCATATAACGTTACCATAAATTACTATAATTCCTTCCAAATTCCAAAAATACAAAATACATGCCAAAAATACACTTACTTTCCAGGATCGATGAGGAATTTATCCCCCCGGGTCCAGTGGACGACGGCGGCCAGAGTCCATGCAACACCGATGCCCAAGAACACGTTGACTGCGTTGGATCCTGTCACGTTGCCAACTGAAGCATCTGCGTACTTATCTTGGATGGCTGCAACTTTGCTAGCGAAGGTGTCTGTACCGAAAACGTTACAATCAGAGCAATTAATATAAATTTTAGTGTTATATACTTCTGTTTAGATATAATAGTGCTCCTGGTACTACATCTCTAATCAATAATCAATGCTTTAAACTTAAGAAGTTAATACCTACCCCGTCTCTGATGATTAGGTTACCTTTAAAGTCATGTTTTGGATCATAACCTTTCAGCCTTCTTTTTTCAGATCCATCCCACAATATATTTAATATTTTAATGTATTTTATATGTTACTATTTACACTACTGCGTTACGTTATATAAATTATTTAATTATTATTTAAGAGGATTATCCTCTAAACGCTAACTGAATCCTTCACCGAAATTCTATTTTCTGCTATCATAAGTAGTAGTATTAATCAATCAATCAGTAGTGACAATCATCTGAATTGAAAAAATAAATAATAAGAAAAAATAATGAGATATTCTAAAGCTGTAGAAAATTAAGCAATAATTTTGAAAAGCAATTTGTTTTAAATATATTAGATAAATATAAACAGCCTGGAACTTTATATATGTAGTACCTGACTGACCGAGCTTAGCTAGGTTTTTTTTTTTAATTTTCGAAAAATGAAGCCTACCTAGATCGATGAATTCCGAAACCCCTGCATACTAAATTTCATGAAAATCGTTGAAGCCGTTTCCGAGATTCAGATTAAATATACAAGAATTGCTCGTTTAAAGGTATTCGATAACTGGAAGCACGTATCATGTGGTGCAGATATGCCACGAGTATATGTATATGTATACCAGACGAAGCTTCAGAAGTGAATAACTGATAGCATGAACCTCTGAATTATTCATTTTAAACTACTGGCAATATTTCTTGTTTAAAAAGAGAAATATACTTATTCTCTTCTTTACAAATTGGATGCTATGAAAACTCATATGCTTTGTATTGCGCTGAGCGCAAAAGTTATTAGTAACATTTAATATTATGATTACATTATACGATATTTGAATATTCTGAGATTTCTTTCCAATATTTAAATCGTAAAATTCCTTTTTTTTCTTTTTTTACAATTACTATAGAAGTAAAGACCAAGAATTCGTACGTACTTATAAAATTCACTGCCTTCATCGCTTTCAGTATACAAAATTGTGTTCAAATGTAAAGTTTAATCTCGCCATTTAAACAGAATCAGTACAAGTAATGTTAAGTTCTCAGCAAGTAATTTTAAGTGCATGACATAAAATTTAAAAACATCGTTGTTCAGAAGATAGTTTAAACGTCATTTGCTTTTGCATAGCTTCATACAAAACTGACTCTTATAGTACCTAATGAATTTTTTTTGAATCATAATACTGTTAAACTATAGTTTATTAAAGTTAAGAAAATAGTGACGTATCGGTCAAACCCTGTACCCTCACCGAATAGGTTCCAAGCTTTCGTACGAAACGAGAATTTCCTAATTACGAATCATCATCATCACATCAACAGCCTTTAATAGTCCACTGTCCACACACGCACGGAGTGAAGAATACGGAGAATACGGAGTAAGAATACGGAGTGTAGCCACCCCTAGTCATAACTAGGGTTATCGACACTCCGTATTCTTAATCCGTCACGATACGGACTTCTTAATCGGTTACCACACGGACTATAAATAAAAATAATTTAATATTGAACTTAATATTGTCTCTCTTTAAAATTGAACTTAATATTGTATAAATAGTCAAAATGATTCAATCCTGAATTTAATTACCTATTCAAATTCGCAGGTCTTTTAGAGTAGAATAGACAAGAAACTCCATGAACACTGTTTTTTAATCATGTTTTAATGTTAAAATGTCTATGCTTTTATAGTCTACCGGCAATGGTCGACAGTATAGCTTTTCTATCAAAGTATTATTGAAATAATGATCAATAATAAAAAAAGAAAAGAACAAACACAAATAAATTTTTAACTTGCATAAAACAAAATACCGCAGCAGATAACATTGTCTCTGTGGTTGTATTGTTTAAAAAGTAACAAAGCAACATTGCACGTTTTTTGGTTTACATTGTACGATACTGATTGCTCGATGCAAAAAGTTCAGAAAGGCTTGTGAACCGATCCGAATTTTTGCAACGATTTGGCAGAATGCAGCGGGAAAATAAAAATATTAAATATTCCAACAAGCCATAGGCTAATTTTACATGTGTGTACATGTAAGTTAAAAATTGTTTACCTTTATTAAGACCTTTTAATATATCGTACTTTCCAGAATAATAAATGTGTGTTCTAGTAGATTTTCTTTTGAGTACTCATATATGAGTGAATTGTTTACCAGACTTATTGGAAACCCACTTTTCCATTTAGATACTTTGAAATATGATTTTTATTCAAGCTAAACTGGCTTCGTGATTCGTGTGTGCGATAATGGACAAGAAATCTTGTGAGAATAAATTTTGTGAATGAATAGGTATGCCAAAATAATACGAATGCTATTTAGATACTTATTAAATTTCTGTTAAAAAGTAAAATATAAGTGGTAAATACGATAACCAAAATATTTTTAAAGTACTTACCGGGTATACTAGTCCCCAAGGCCACAAATACTATGGCGGTAACGGAGTCTTTAATGCCAAGGGTGCAGCCGAAGTGCGACGCCACGTCACCTATGACAGCTGTCACCAGACCAATGCAGATGATTGACACGATGAAACAGACGTAACCACCACCTATGTCTGAGCAAGAATTTAATTTTTAATAAATAAGTATTAGGTATGTAAGTTAGGGAAATAAGTTTAAAAATTTACAGGTAATACGAAAATCGTAAATATTGAATAGTAATTTGAATGGGATTGTAGGACTACAAGGTCCAAATTTAAGTAACGCAATAGTTAAAAATTTTAGTAGCGATATTTAAAAATATCTATTGACAAGTATTTTTAAACTTTGAATTAGGAGCTTTATTGTTAATTATGCATTGAAGTTATATAGGTTATATTTGTGTCAGATTTGCAACTAGTATGCTATCAGAAGCTATCAAGATGCATTTTTTTAATAGGCCTGAGGTCTATTTAAAAAAAAACCACGTGATGATTGACATTTGGTTTTAGTAGGTTAGGGTCCCACACATCTTGACATTGAACCTATGGACCTACGGACCTAAATATTGATTAATTATAAAACTGTAAACGTCCTTAATACATAATTCTAATGTAACATATACATGGATTTTTATCATTTTGATGTAATCTCTTGTCAAATTTGCGAAAACTGTATGATCTGTTTATTCTTTGATTAGTGCAAACATTTATAAGCCATGGTGGCTTTTCATTGCTATTATATAATTTTATTGAATCTAAAAACAGGCGAAGTATGTAATACACAAACTATACAGAAGCAGTTAAGAAAATAATATACACGGGGGCAAAATAAATAAAAATTATTGTATCACATACCTTTTTGAAATACATTTATTCTTATTCTTAATTACCTTGCATAAATAAGCCGTTATTAACATGAAAATGTTTAACTTTTGTTGTTTATATATAAAGTAGCCTTGTTTAGGTAAAACTATCCCTGCAACATGTTTGTTAAACGACTTTGGTAGTGCAGTCTTGCTATAAACGATACGATGCAATTTGGAATATCAACCTCAACTTTGTTTAGTGGCTTTGTAGTTGAGATTAGAAATTTGAATATCATCAGAGTTTGCCCTGATAGCCCGGCTACATTACAACGTTTCCATTTATATTAACGATAATAATTAAAAGATATTATGTTCGGGCTACAAAGCACAAGGTGAAATACTATGCTTTCGTAGCTTTAGAAATTCACCGCAATTAGATAATTAAATTATTCTTTAAATAAAACTTAGTTGTGAAATGCAAAAATTATAATTAATAATAATATTTCGGACTTTTGATACACAACGCCTTCTAGTTTCAAACTAAACAAAGCTTGTACTATTAAAACTAGATTGACTGATAAAATACTAAAAAAATATATATGTAATATTATCATAAGTGGCCCATCATCTAATAGGTACCTAATAGGTATCTAATAGGTACCTTTTCCTACTTAAAAGTAGGTAACTTTACCTGATAACTTTCGAGTAGTTTTTTTTCTAAAAAAGTTCCTTCATAAAATACTGACTGATTTTAAAAGTACAGAAGTATTGTTTTGAATATTAATACGATAGGAAAGTTTTGAAATCCTACATTTATTTTTCAATTTAATTTCAAGTTTGTTCATTTGATTTCGATAGTCAGCATTTAATGTGGCGCACTTAAGCTGAAAAATAAACATTAAATTTTTTGTGTAAACGAACAGGCTTTTAAAACTTACCAGTGGGAGGTATAAGAGCGAAGACAATTTTCCAGAAGAGCGTCACTATGTGAAGAATGTAGTCGGAACAAGAAGGTGGCTCATCAGGGTCGTCGGAACCTATAACATATTCGACATCATTACTAAAATCATAACACAAAGTACTGAAATATTTTAAAGGATATGGTCTTTAATTCAAACACTATAAAGTTTCATATTAAAAATTAACATTCTGAAGATCTAAACCCAAACCAAGCATAGTTATAGATTGTAGACTTTTATCTATGGTTTTAACAACTTATATTTGTGTAACAGCGTGTGTGGGCCGAGCTCGCACACAGATGTTTTTATACTAAAGCAGGCAAACACGTTACTGATCAAAGAGAATAAAACATAACATGGGCCTGTTGGTCTAGTGGTTAGTGACCCTGACTGCTAAACCGGAGGTCGTGGGTTCGATTCCCACCCTGGACAAATATTGTGTGATGAGCACGGTCATTTGTTCTGTGTCTGGGTGTAATTTATCTATAATATGTATGTATTTAGAATTATATAAGTATGTTTATCGGCAGTCTGATTACCATAGTACAGGCTCTGCCTAGTTTGGGATCACACGGCCGTGTGTGAGTGTGTGAGATATTTATATATTATTATATTATATTGTGCCATTTATCCACCGTGTACAGAATGTTTATTGTGTACTTAACTGTGTTAAATGCTACAATGATCAGTCAACCACTGATACTGATTTGGTCTACTGATACTGGGTGTAATTTATACATAATATATGTACCTATGTATATCAGCAGGTTGGATACCATATCAGCCGCTGCCTAGTTTGGGATCAGGCAGCCATGTGTGAAATGTGTGAAGTAATTGTTATACTAAAAAAAGCCCTTACCTGAGCTGGCAGTCAACGCTTCCGAAAACTGCTCCTTCCACGAAGAAGTGCCTATGATAATTGATGCGTTTGCTCTTTGTACTAATTTATCTACTGTGTTCTGTAACAAAGAAAAAAAAAACATTAACCTACTGTTGACCCAAATGATTAAATGGTTTTTGTATTGTGTAGTTAGTTCGTGAACAATCGAGAGTCTTATAGAATCTGAGGGACGGCGCCATCTAGTATCAAGTGTTGCACAACGACCGACGAAGACTTATAATTCTGATACTTGAATCCTCGGGATTACTCTAGTAATTTTGATAATCCTATAATCGACTACTTTTATTTATTGAATAATATAATCGGCTCGTAACAATATTGCAATTATTATAATTAATACTGGGCTGCCCGCCAAAATTCAATATTTTAATTTCAAAACGGCTCGACCGATTGTGATAATATTTTACTACCAGGTAGCTGTCTATATAAGGAGTAACTTAGGCTATATTTTCTTTTAGAAAACCCCTATAAAATTTTGCCCGGTCCATGAATCGAACTCACTAAGGCAGCGCTTTTCAAATTCCACGCGAGCAAAGTCGCGGGCAGCAGCTGATTCGAAATAAAGATAGCTGCTCCAAGATTCAAATCACATACTTGATGTCAATAATACACGTCAGCGCGTATACGCGGGCGGAGCCGCAAAAGCTAGTATTAAATAAACGGAAAGAGTACATCACTTTTTAGTAAAATTAACAAAACGCGACTGCCTCTTTTTAATAATAACAAAGTTATAAAATTGTACCACAAATTAAAGTTAATTAAAATTAAGTTTCTTGCATACAACATTTTAAGACAATGTTACAAATAGATACAAAGAGGATAATAAAACCGAAAGTTGTTCTTATACGAAAAACTCACCAACGAACTGGGCTAGTCAAAAAAGTACCTTACGTAGTATTTTTGAACGGGCGTTACACTTAAAATAAAAATAAACTTACTTTGAACTCTTTGCTCTCCTTAATTCTGAGTTGCGCTCTGGTTATGTCACCAGCTCTTGGTAAACCCATCATGGCGACAACCGCCTCCTCCTCTGGTAACGTCGCCAGATGATTGGCTTCATTGCCAGTTGCCACCGGATTGTCATCATCTGCGAACGATAATATACTTAAAAACCTGAATAATTGTGTGAAAGTCAATCAGTTCATAACAGTTTGTGCATTTTGAGTAGATACTCCTAGCGCGAGTAAGCAACTTACAGAGACAGTTTAATGCACAGGAAAAGCGACATTACGTGTAACACACTTAAGTTGAAGATGTTTTGTAGCTTACAACAATTTTTACGTATTCATATTTTCAGAGTACATATATGTATAGTTCAGTTTTTTTTAGAAGTTTAACATTGATGTGCTCATGGAAAGGGCGGAAGAAAAGTGTTAAGGAGATAAAGAATTTTGGAGGCATTTTTAAAATCCTAAATCGGTTACATTTCAATTGATTAATAAGTATGTTTTTAGTTTAGAAGTTTGATGTAAATTAGTTTTTTATGTATTTTATTTTGAAATTGATATTTAAAAAGGATATATTTTCAAAGGACACACAGCAACAAACACACAAATATAAAACTAATTTAAAAAACACTCACACAACATTATTATATCTGTAAATATGTGTGTGCTAATAAAATTAGTTCAATAACACGGAATAATGCCTTTTATATACATATGTATCAGTGTAATTAATTAAAAACTAACAAATTACGACATTTTAATAGTGGACCGGTTCCTCTAGTGGATGGACCCAGGACAAATACTCGTAATTATATGAAAGATCAATTCTTTTGTGTCTAGATGTAATTTAACTCTAGAATGTATAAGTACAATTATAAGAAGTCTGATGACCATAGTACAGGCCCTACCTAGTTTAAAAGATACAGAAAGATTAACAGATTCGATCGTTTTCTCTACCTTTCAGCGTAGGATAACATGAAACAATTCTCATATTGCGGCACTGTTAAATGGACTAAGGGGTGGTTGTAATTTCACTAAATTTTCGGATCCTATTTTCCCTATTTTATTTTAAGCAATTTTTTTATTCGGCTCAATCATAAATCAGACAAAGCAATCAGCTATAAATCTTAATTTGACCGCTCTTATATCGTGCCTATCAGATTTTCTACCTTAGTGCTTCATTAACATTAATCGGATTGTGTTCCGTTTATTATTATAAAAATTCTTTGCAATGCTGCAAGGCTTTAACTCTAAAAAACACCTTCGAATAGAACATGTTCCATATTTTTGCTGCTCCTCAACGTTTTATCTACTGGCGGTACTTTCAAGTTTTCTCCATCCAGAACCTACAGGAGTTTATTAATATTTAATGTATCTTTTATTCTATTAGGAAGTAACTAATAAATAATTTATATTGTTCATAAATTGAGTTTCTGTTTTATTTTTATTTATAAAATTCAGTGATTTTTATAATTGTTAAAAACCCTGTATAACATAAAATAATAACTTAAACCTTACCTTGTAAAAACTAAACAACGTGCTGCTCTAGTTTTGTAATAAAACAAGGGAATTTCGTTCAGTTCGATACAATATAAAGACACGGAAATTGCATAAACGGACTGAACGTTACTTCCTTTTTAAAACGTTATTTTTCATATTTTTTTTTTATTTAGACTGTAATAAAATTTAATTCCAAAAATTTACTATTTCAAAAGATATCTGTATTAGATTATATTCATATGTCTCATGGGAAAGAGTAGGTACTTCTTCCGTTCTCAGTACGTGACCAGCAAACGTAATACATGAATAAAAGCGTGAGGATCAAAAATACTTATTATCTGCGATACTTTGGACTATCTGATTTCGGCGTAAAAGAAACGAACATAACATTTGTTTAAAATGATGTAATTTTGATCTGTTTGTATTTCTTAATGCAGTTTTGGTACATACTAAATATATAAAGTATTTTCTCTTAGTTCAAGAGAAAATACCTGTCAATTTCCAAGTTCAAATCTTTAATAAAACTAAGATCGCTAGTTCTAAGAATTAGGCTGTGGTCATAGCCTATCTGATCTAATCGAAATATTAGGTAACTTATATTATTGTTATGTAATAACAATAATAAGAGCTCGTGAACTCCCAAACGTACATATCATAGAATACGAAAGTATATGTTATGTTTTGTTTGTATCAGAAATATCAACAATTTTTCACTCAACATCATTTAAAGTGTAGTCTTGTTCTTAAAGCCGTAGCAGTAGAAGCTATAAGATTAAAACTACACCTTTTGATATTACCTTTTAAACTTAAGTTAAGTATTAAAATGCGAGCGAACTATGAACGATACTTGTCCACCTTTAAGATAGACGAAATTGAAATAATTGACTCACAAAACGCCAAAGTATGTGTGTGTATACCATCATTCTTAGAAGAACATTTAGTATTACGAATGTTAGAATTAGATATGTTATAGTTTATCAATAAAAAAATATGGTTGACAGTTTCAGCTTGCAACAAACTAGTAAGATAAATATTGCATCCTGTAATAATACTAACCTGCTGAGATTATGGCTAACATAATACCAAATTTCTTTACGATAACCAACCTTACACGGCTCATATAAGACTGTGACTACATTAACAACTTATGAAAGTAGAAAATAAATAAATAATAGAATTACTAGAACTTTCCATTTTCTAACTTGCTTCAAAAACCAGGTGAAGATCAATTCGTTTTTTTTTGTACGATATACGCAATATCTTTGCCATTTGTGAACCGATTTTAAATTATTTTTTTTACTGAATTGGTTTCGCTGAAGGCTGCTCCTATTTAGATAATATTCTTCTAAGTTAAGAATATTAGGAGATTAATCATCAGATACCTTAGATAACTCTCGGTCAAGATACCTTTAAACAATAAAAGTGGGAGAGCCGTACCAAACGCACAACACACGCCGAACACACACACACACACACACACACACCAGAGTGATGAAGAGTGGCTAACTCGACTAGAGTGATACCACAGCCTCACAGGTATTGGTATTGGTAGTGGGCTTCGGTTTCCGCATTTAGACTCAGAGTGGTCCTTTATGCGTCTAGGATTGGTTGACTAGGAAAGCCAGCCAAGCTCCTTCCAGAAGCGCAAAAGCGCCTCACAGGAATAATTCTTTTGTGGCTCTCACTGAGAGAATAAGGTAACCGGAACCCAAACCTCCCCTATCCTTGATTCTGGGGAATTGGGGTGTCCAAGTATCATCGTTTGCCACAAAAAAATAAGGTCAATCAAAAGTAAATCGATCCATTGGCAAAGAGGATATGAAGAAACATACACACACACACAGATACACTGACACAGATATATCGACACACATACACTTTTTGTGCCGTGAGTTTAAAAGAAGGACTGTTAAAGTCAAAGTTAAATCCAATTTTAATAGTATACTTTACAAAGTCTCAAGATTTTATGTTCAAGGCTTGGCATTGAACAATGAAATTAAAATGTAATGTAATTATACTCTTGAACAGTCGAATGGGACAATAAAGCTTAGAATCTCATTACATTTACATTACATATGCCTTATACGTAATTTGTTTGAAGTTACTGTAACACAAATTGAGTCGCTATACAGACACAATGTGTGTACTCGTATATACAGTACGAATAAGAGATGTACCGATATATGTGTCACCGAAACAACCACATATATGTCACCAAAAAATTGTAAATACATGTTAGATTATAACAATATAGGTTATAATTATTTTGAATCAAAAAGTCAAACCAAATAAATTCCAAATTTTTGGAATTCAAACCTATTATGATCTTTCTTCGCTATTTTGTAAAAATATTACGTACCTACAGACTAATATTTAAACTTTTACTGAACATTTAAGTATTAGTGCACTGCAAAGGAAAAGTGTTTCACAATATTCCCTACTCACCTATTTGGCTTCGGTTAATCGGAAAGTATTCTTCTCTTTTTCTTCTCTTTCTTTCTAACTCGACAGAATACCAGGCGGTAACCGTATTTCATGTTATGTTATGGCGATTTTAGATTCTATTTATTATACACATTAATCACAGCGGCAATCAGATTGAGTCCCGCAAATAATTTCGCCACTACTCGCCGCTACATGTCTACTGTCCACTAGCAACGATTCACTAAAAACTTGCTACCAACAAGCTACGATCTTACTACCAAATGGCTACGAAAGCGCTACGAGTATGCTACGCTCGATATAAATGATAAATGATATTTATTTCTGTAAGTAAATCTTTTCAGATATTTTTACAAGTCGGACTTTATAGCTAGAAGGAGCCGGCATTTCCTAAGACTCACTCTGGGAAGAAACGCCGAAACAAACCACAGAGGTGTCTTTTTTTTTAAGTCCGTAAACAAAGTTAAATAAAACTGTGCGAGTACAGTATAGGGTCTGGATAGGCCTTTTGAGGAAAGGACCATAGTTTTCAGCCTGTCCATACAGACGGCATACAGGCTCCAGCCATCGTGTAGCCTAACCGATATTGGTCAAGATCAACGACCCGAAGCATGACACTACCGCCAGCAGGACATTACAATAATCAAAAAACCAAAACAAAACAAAACACTCAAAACCACCAGAAAGATAATAAAATATGAATTAACTTTACAAGCCAACACTATACTCACATTTACATACTTACACAAAAAATAAAAAAATACTATACAATTCAGTCAACGAAAAATAAAATACGAAAACAAAATACGAAATACACTAAAAAAATAATAATTAAATGTCCATCACTTTCAAACTTAACAACAAAGATGTCTACGTAAATGTGGGAGTGAGCAGCGTCAATCCTAAGCAAATTTGTCGTCTAAATAGTCTGTAATAGTGTAGTAAGCCTTTTCACATAGTTTTAGCTTTACTAAAGACTTAAATTTGTTAATACTTAATTCATGGAATTTGCTTGGCACTATTGTAAAATCGCACACCCTGACAACGAAAAGACTTGCTTACTTTTTATAGTCTAGTGATTGATAACACGAGTTTATCTTTATTTCTAGTGTTTATTTTATGCATGACGCTAAACTTTGTGAATAAATGATTATTTTTCTTTACATGCACTAAATTTTTTATATATGTATTGAGATGCGACTATCATGATACCAATTTCTTTAAACTTATCCCTCAGTGACTGACTATAACTGAGATTATAAATTGCACGAATAGTTCTCTTTTGCAACACAAAGATACTTTATAGTGATATGTACAGTTGAGTCTAAAACAAATTGACAGCTCCAATGGATATAAATTCTTCTACACACACAAAAAATGCTGCGTTATGCAAAAAAGAAATACTAATTAATTGTTTATCTAGAATTAGGTATATCAGCAGTTTTTATATATTATAGTAGCTATGAAATTTACGGTTTAAATAAAACTACTATTTAGTCCCATAGATGACTAACTATGATAATTTGAAAGGCATGCTTTATTAAACTATATTTAAAGTTTCAAACAAGTCTCCTGAAATGTTTACTACAGGGAAGCTCCGATTTAGCTGCGTGCAGTGCAGCACTTCATAGCGACAGAATGCTAAACTCCATAATAAAGAATACCTGTAGTGTTTTAACATTAGTAGGGCTTTTTCTACATATGAATATTCGTAAGTAAATATAAATAAATAATACTAATGATATTGTAATGTTCTTCATTTATATATATGATATTCAGGCCAATGAAATATCTATGTATATTTCATCATTATAAGCATACTAATAATTGTTAGCGACAACATCTACAACTGAATATGAAAATATAAAATATAACAAACCATCATCTTACTTGGGCAAAAGCGTAGAGTATTTCCAGCGACAGAAAGCAGAAAGAAGAAGAAAAACGAACATACAATAAATATCGAGAAGATAATATAAAATACAATACATATAAAATTAATATAATAAAAATATACACATTAATATAATAAAGGGTTTATTTATTCAATGTTAGACATCATCAACAGCCAGCTCTGACAAAGGCCTGTTCAAGAATTGCTTACATTCCCCATTCTGTCCATTACCTTCATTTCCTAACTACCTTTGCCTTTTAATTAATATATTCCCAATTACTACTACCTCAGGCACTCTATCACAAATGTATTGTTTCTTTTACTTTAATTTAGAGTGAGCTATGATAGTGATGAGAAGATAAACAAATTATTATTATTATGAATTTTCCTATCTTTATGTAACGAACTCTTACGACCCATCATTAGTATTATCATCTGTCTTTGTATTCAGGAGCAAATATTAGATTTTACCTATTAAACATTTTTAATTCGTAAAAATCTGTCTGTTATTTTTTTTATGGAATAGGGTGCAAACTAGCAGACGGGTCACCTGATGGAAAGCGATAGTATCTACAGATTGATGAGCTTTAATGTTACAAGTTTAATATATTTCATCTTTACATTCGAATTTAGAAAACCTGTAATTGTCGTTGTGCATCCTCAGGATCGTAGTCTAACATCTTATGCTTTATATTATTCCTTTATAAATCTACAACCTTTTAAATATACCACCCTTTATAATTAGATTATCATAATTCTTTAATGTTTAATTTGATGAAATCACTTTACCTTGCTAAGTATTCCATAATTTAACCTACAAATCCACTTCAAACATGATTTAGAAATGCATGAATAATACAGTGCCTCTTCGTATCAATTATTGTACAAAAAATAAGGAGAAAACGACGGATCCAATTATAATAGAAAAAATGTTCACGGATCTTTAAGTAGGAAAATGGGGAATTTAAAACCTAATTTGTTGCAATAAACGTCGTGCCACCGTCTCAGCAATTTTCGCGGTATAAAGCACATGTGCTTCTTGGCTATCTATCTTTGTGGCGAATTTTATAGAGTTTTACTCAGCGTTCTACTAGCGTTATTAGGTAACAAACATAAACCCAAACTTTGGATTTAGAGTATTAGTAAGAATGATAATAACTGTAATGGTGGAACAATTGCTTTTGGAAAGAGTTCGTTTTTAGAATATTTCCAAATATGTTATGACAGGAAACTTCGTTTTTTGTGTTCTTCAATAAATTTGCATATTGATCGAATTGCATGCACAGTCATATGCATATTGTAAACGTTATTTAAAGTAGTACTAGTAGACAGACAGTTAGTGACACATGATGAAATCTCCGCCATATCTATCGAAATATTTTACTAATTTACAAAATTAAAAGACACAACTGTCCTACCAAAATACCAAGTAGTTACCATTCTGCTGTCATATAGTTTTTTTAAAGCAATTTATAGAAAATGTTATGTAAGGATTTTAGACATGCTATTCCATTTCCTTATTATAGTTATGTTAAAGTAAAAAAACTTAAATACACTCATATAATTTATCAATAAGTCACACTCCTTTTTGAGCGATCGTGTAAAAATCATGTAGATGACAAGTTCATACTAGGTTCGTACTTGGAGAACATCCATGATCAGTACAAATTCTTTCTTTCTTTTAAAAAGACAACTCCCGCATTAGGAATCCTTTGTCGCGGGGGACTTTACAGACATACATG